GAAAACGAGAGGAGCCGGAGATGGACCACGCGGGTGCGAGGGGCTTGCGAGGTTTTTTTTTTCGCCAGCGTCGAGAAGTTTTTCTCTAATCGTATTTAAAAGAAAAAGAATTAACGTTCCTTCTTTCCCCGTCTCGGTGACTTCGTTGGGACGTAAATAATTCCATGGCAAAACCAGCCTGGAAATCAACAGAATCCAGCATCTTTTGGGGCGTTCTTCTTGCCCCGGAGCTGCGTCCGGCCCTGATTGGCGCGGTGTAATTAGACGTAATTACACGCTTTGCTTCCTCGGCGTGCGCGAGGTGGGCAGCTCCCGCCATGAGGCGGGTTGGGAGAAGGTGGAGACTTTGAGAGCGGGTTTATAAAAATCGGCAAAATGGTTTTTCTGGTCTTTTTTGGTTGTTTGTTTTTTTTCCTCCGGTTAATGGGGTGCCGCTCCTCTGGCTTTCCCCTCGGTTGGGTGTTGCGCGCGGTCGTCCCTCCCTGCCCGCGCCCCGATTTCCCTGTCGCGACGAGTGCCGCGGTGCCGATAAAACCGTGCCTTTTTTTTCTTTTTTTTAATCTCTGCCTAAAGTTTAACCGGTTTTGAGTACGCCTGTTGCTATCGTGCGCCGTCAGCAACCGGCGTGCCGAGGCAGCGGCGTTTCTGCGGACAGATACCAGATTCCTGACGGTTGAGCAGATTATAGGAATATAAGGAGAAACGGTGCATTCTAAGAAGGTCATAATTTGGGTTTAAAATCGACTCTTTCGGGTAATTTTCAACTGCAGCTCGTAGGGCAGTGGAATCGGTGAGCGGCGCTTGCCGTGGGTCACGGGCAGGACCGTTGCTTCTTCCCAAAACTTCAGTTTTTCTTTCCTACCTGGCGCTATAGCGCAGAAATAACAGCCTGCAGCTCATATATAGATTCTATAGGCGTGGATTTGCCTATATGTTGCGTAAGAGCTGCAGTTTTCTCTGACCACCTCCTATTTCAGGTAATTTTGGGCGGAAGAAATTGGTCAGGAACTTTAGTTGAGGAACGGGGTTTGAAAAATGGCCTGGCCCATTGTTTAAACTCAGTTATTTTAAGGTTGTCCTAGAAATGCTATCAGACTCCATCTGAAGCATGGCGGGCTTTGAAGGCCCCCAAATTTTAAAGCGCTTTTGGTGTATTTTCACGTATATGTGCATAAAAGAAGCAAGAAGTTTGTTGGGCTTACTTAGTCCTTCTTAAGAGGATGTACTGCTGAGAAAGTAAAGCTCAAGCCTGGTGAAACCCATCGCACAAGTGACAGGAGGATCTGGGACTTCTCGCACCTCAGTAACATGGCGTTATCCGCGTTGGTGGGGATTACTTTTATTCTTTTGTATTAAAAACGCGTGTTGATGTGTTTTGTGTGTATTATTTTAATGCCTAGCGAAGGTCGGAGGGTCCTTCCAGTGCACGCGATGAGAATTTTTAACGTACAAGTTGAAAACTTGGGTGAAAGTTTCATAGAAAGGAAATCCGTCTGCCAAGGATGAGTTTAACGCCGCTCTTAAACACTTTAACGTTATCACCTTCGTCCTCTTCGCAAGAGTTAGTGGCCGTATTAACGATGCGATTATCTCTGGGTCCGGTATCTCTACTGCCTTGTACGTAAATGTGGCTTTCTAGAGCCGGGAGGAGAGTACAGTCTGAAGGCTTGGAATTCATTTTCTCTCTCCCTCTCTCTCTCCCCCCGTTTTTTTTCCCTCATCAGGCAAGGACAATAGACTCCACTAGGCTGTCTTCTCAGCTGCCTTTGTTCTCAGGCTGTTTGTCTTGGGGTTGATATTATCAAACATCTCCGTAGCCAAATGGGTTTTCTTACTTCTTTTGGCCGTGTCGTGAAGGAAAGCGGCCGATCGACTTCAGCTGCCGCGATTTTTATGAAAAGCTTGC